ATAATTATCAATTTATGATCTTAAGGGGATTACCCCAAAATGTTTTGGCGATCGACTTAATGCCCACCCCTGTTCCCCACGATGAGTCTTTAATGGCTGTAGGACTCGAACTCAGGACTTGGCGGAAATATGGAAGGTCACGAGTTCACGACCATGCCGTATGCTACTCAAGTAGCTTCGAAAAATACTTCTAGCGTAAAGTTATTCATCAGAAACAATATCTGAGGCGTTTATATGAAAATTCTGCTAATAAACTAAAGTACGTCTAAAGATTCATTTCTGAAAAAAGTCTTAGAAATATACAATATTTCATTTTATTATAAAATAAATATCATCCAACTGTAAACTTCTAGGCAAATAATATGTATCGAATATCATATAATAAGTTATTGTGCTCTAAATTAACCACAAAAGCCTAGTGGTCATGAGCTCGTGGCCGGCGTTGCCGAGTCGCGGTTCGAGTTCTGAAGTCGTTAAAACTCCACCTTGTAGAGGGGCCAAGGCACGTTAAATCTATCGAGGATCAAAATCCTCACGTAGGCGTGGTATGGGATTTTGGAGAGTGGGGTGCTAGCTCAAATGTCATCCTCGTCACGTGTTGAAAGCTTAAAAATTACGAGATCCAACGCCCAATAGCCAATATTCTTTTTTTTTTCTTACCCTTTATGTTCTCTTTTTATTATTTTAGCTTTATATACTTGTATTATGTAATACGTATGTATAACGTGCAGTTACCTTTAATTTGTATTATGTAATTGTACTGCTGTAAAAAATGTAAACTTTAATTTTGTTCAATAAAGACTGGACGCGAGGGTAGTTGTATCCCGGGGTTTGTAGCTCTAAACCTTTTTCTTCGGTTCCCTTGGGCATTCTACCCATAGCCCTCGTGCATCTTTTCAAGTGACGCGTTCACCTGGCTCTGAATTATCAAATAAGTTAAAAATAAATCTACCGTAAAATAAGTAACTGACCCTTAGAATTCAGCTCGTACTTAAAAATATAGATTTAATGAAAAAAAAACCCACAGAAATATTTTATTTTAAATAAAAAATATTTAAACGTAAGACGACTAGACAAAGAATACTGAATGCATTATGTTTATTGTATTACGCATGTTTAAATACACTGATTTGCAGCTAAAACATTAGTAGGTTGGCAAAAAATGATATTTTTTTCCAACTCAACATAAATATATTATTAATATTATCAGAGAAAGAAATAAGAGTCCATATTACCGCTGATGACTGTTATACGCCATAAGCAACTAGCTTTATTCATCCCTTGTCTTGTCTCACTAATGTCATGTCCCTTCAATAATATATTCGACAACCGGATGTAAAAATGACAGTCATTCAAAAGGTTGCAATAATGTATCATATCCATGATTAATTGGATGTATTTAAAGATATTCATCGGGTGTGTCTTGATCTTGATTGGATATATTAGGTTAATCAGTTATATCAACTTGTCTATGCAGTTGACAGGCTGTTTTAAATTTAAAACAGCCATGAAACAAAAAATTCACGCTTCTCAATATATCTTATCTCTAGTTTTTATATGTAAGTAGAATATTATCTAATTTTTTCCATTCCAAATAATGGAATCATCGTAGGTTTTTGAAAAGGGCCACGAGATTATCTAAATCTAAAATTTCATTCTGATAGATGGTTCTTATTTCAACAGGCAAAATTTTTAATTTAATTTTTGTGTGTCATGCTGCAATGGTTTTCTCGTTGCAACTGTGTTTAATTTATTTTCAGTTTTGAAATTAAGATATCTTCCGCAAAGAAATCGCTTTTATTTTTATAGTTTGCATTTTAGTTGGAAAATACGAATTAAAAAATATTGTATTAAAAAATATATTGTACTTCTCTCTTAATTTAGTCAATGCATTTTAATTAATACTTGACAATTAATATTTTTTAATACTGAAAATAAACGATTAATGCTTCAGATAAGTTTTTCATAAAGTTTTTGTTTTCTGATATTTTTGCTGGTAATAAAATATTAAATAAAACTGGTAAAATGCTACATAAAAATCCTGCCTATGTTTGTTTGCTTTCGAGAATTTAATTTGTTTTAATATTTGTGTGAAAATGCGGGAGAAGATTTAAAAGTACTAAGAAAAAATAATAGATTAGAAATATTAAATAAAAATAAATAACTTTTACTAGCTTAGGTACCCGTTCCTCTCACGGGTTAATGTTTTAAATATATATATATATATATATATATATATATATATATATATATATATATATATATATATATATATATATGTAATAGCTGAATTAAAAGGAGGGTAATACCGGGTAGAAAAATGTAAAATAATTTTTTAACGAGTGCATTTATTATTTGTTTATAATGCTTCTTATAATCTCGCAACGCCCCCTGTGCGTCGTTTTTTGCAAATCCCTTTTGTAACGTATCTCTACTTCATGAAAGAAACGGGCCTGCTAAATTTAAAGTCTGTAGGTCTAAAAGTCCAAAAACGGAAATATTTACCTATAACGCCTCTTAAGCCCTTGTGGGTCTATTTTCGCAAAACCCCTTTTATAGCGTGTCTCTACTTAATGGAAGGATCACGCCTGCAAAATTTCAAGTGTGTAGGTCTTATAGTTTAAAAACGGGAATGTTTATATGTAACGCTCCTTAAGCACTCGCTACTCCATTTGGGGGTCGATTCCGATAAAAAAGGGGGACCTTCTTCATGGGGGGATAGATGGCTTCCGGAACTCGTTTCCAAGTTTTAGTGGCACGCACATTATATTCTATTTTAATATATAAATTGATTAGTTCAATTTTATAAGAATTGACCTACTCTACGCTCCTCCGAAGCATTTAAAAAAAATTTCTTACAATTATTAAACATGAAAAATATTTTCTATTAAATGTATAATAAAGACTTGGTATATCAGATAAACTTGTAAATAATTGCTGATTTTTAGAGTAGAATTCTAATATTAATTTAATAAAAACATATGTTCTCAAACATTGCATACCGGATATTCAACGAGAAAGAAATAACATTTTTCTTGATGCGCTTTCCTTTTTTTAATAAATACAACCATCTTGTGAGCATCTGCAACTAAATTATATACTATCAAACTGTCGCTGTTGTATAATAACAAATGGTAAAACCATTACCATAATAATAATTTAAGTCTTAAAGTGTAAGCGCTGGGATAGTAGCGAGGCAATACAACTTCATTAATTTTTTAGTTGACATTGGCGCTTTCAACCACCTGGCATTAACTGCTCACAACTTTCGTAAATATAACATTAGTATTAAAGAACGAATTACCTTCCCCTTGTAAAATCGTGACCTGACTTACACCATCGTCTCGACTCCAACCCCAAACTAGTTTAAGATCAAAACTTTCCTCTGGTAAATATCACGAAAAATTAATCAGGATTGATACTGAAAAGCGAATATGCCTTCCAACTCCAATTTACTAGCACCGGGAACAAAAATTTTACTAATTAACAATCAAAATATTGATTATCGTGTAACAACATGGAACGAAGTAAATAGATTAATATTATTCATGTCAAAGGCAGACCGGAGACATTTATCTGGACCGATAATAACTGGTAATCGATTTCTCACTAATACATCCGCCAATCCACCTTCACGTATTACACATTCGCACGGAAAACGCTAATTATTATACCCGGAATTATCCCCATGGCGGAATGATAATTGTTCCGAATCTAACAGCAAGAGAGGGCATCCGGTAGCGATATTTTACAATCGTAATCGTGTCGATTCCAATTACTGAAAGTAGTATTTCTTACCAGCCATAAATTTTACCGAAGAAAGTAGGGAAATTTTTATGAATAAAACGCTTCGGGTTGGAGTTGTAAGGTAAAGATGCAATAATAATGATGTGGCGATTGCAGGCAACGTTTAATTTATGAGTAATTTAAAGTTTTAAGTGGGGAGAGGACGTGTTCCCCTGGACTGGTTGTGAAGTATCGCTTTAGTTGATGGTTAGGAAAGAATACTTGTTCCTTTAAGTTTTTTGAATTAGAAAATTTTATTATTCTCTTAGAATTAATATGCATAGATAGTTAATTTTTCTTTACTATAAACACATAAATCACTAGAACACTAAAGATGAAGCATACAGAAACTGGAAATTCTAAACAGATAGTAAAATTTAAAAACGATAGTAGATTCATAAAAAAAATATTAGAATTTTAAAAAAAATATTAGAATTTTTAAAAATATTGATGCTGCAGTATTATAAACATTGCTGACTTAGGACAGCTCTTATATATAAAATAATTTATATATAGGGTGAACAAGTTTTCTGGCTAGCTAACCTTCCCCTTTTTTATTAATAATACTGAGCGAGAAACACTATTGAAAACAAGTAATATAAAAAAAATTAAGTCAATTCCTACTTAGGTCAACAAAGAAAACTTTTATTTTAGTTACTTTTTATTAAATAGTTACAGTTTATATAAATATGTATATACCGCAAAATGTGGCGTATAACGGGCACTTTTAACACCAAAAATAAGATGGAAATTCACAGGTGCCCGTGTTATACGCCGGGTATATAAATGAGAGCTTTAAAAAAATAATAAAAAGTGATGAGCATAAAAAATTGGACTTCTACATATTTCGAAATACTGTTTATTTAAAGAGATGAACTTAAAAAGTTGTAGTTTTAAAAGTACACCATTTTTGCAAAAGATTAGAAAAATAGCTCGAATAAATCGCTTCAAAACATAACAGCATTACACACCTATATGTCAGGTTTCTTCGTAAAAAAGGAGGCGAATACACCTCAAAATTAAAAACTGCAACCTCAAAGTACGGGTGCGCGTGATACGCCAGACTTTACGGCAGAATCACACTCTTAAGTGACAAAGTAGAAAAAGCGATTTTCCTTGCAATTTTTCATTTTCCTTTCTATATAGGGTGCTGGATTATTTGTTTGTTACTATTTCTTCATTAATTAAATTTAATTACTCTAATAAAATAGTATAGTAAAAAAGATACGAACCTGCGACCTTTGGATTAGAAGTCCAACGCGCTACCTATTGCGTTACAGGGACACAATGAACGAGTTTCCTTTCTATATATGCTGTTGGATTATTATTTTTGTTTGTTACTATTTATTCCTTTTTTAATTTAATTAATGAAGTAATATTTTTAAAAAATGCATTAACATCAAATGTCATCCACTACAAGTTTAAAAAACATGTATTTGAAATGTGAATAGAAAGTATTTTATTAACAATCGAAAATTTGAGCAAGATATATATATATATATATATATATATATATATATATATATATATATATATATATATATATATATATATATATATATATATATATATATATATATATATATATATAGGGAGAGAGTGAACTAATAGTAGGAATTGAAAAATCTAGTCAGAGAGTGAGAATTCGTTTTCTCATCATTATTACTTTTGTATCGTTACTTAGTATGGAAGTTGTGAACATGAAACTGTCCATTCCTATTATATTGATGCATAATGTAACGTAGTTTATAAATTAATGGATATAATTTATAAAGAAATAGTTTTACAGTAGGCTACCCGGAAAGTCGTAAATATTTGCATATATATAAGAATGGGTAATAAACTTCCCAAAAACTATTGACTTTAAGATTTGTCTGGATTAGAGAAAGAGTTACTCGTTGTGTCGATGATACTGAACAGAAAACTTATCAAAGCATTAAAATAACTTTCATTTATATAAGCAAGGGGGTTTTGTTAGTTATATAGTTTGCTTTAAATATATATCTTCACATTAAATCTTTTACAAGTGACTCATTTCCTAATAGAGTGTATCTGCATTTCGCTTGTATGATATTCTACATGTCATCGGTCTATTCAATATTTGTGCCCAATCCATCAGTTTCCCAGACGGTTATAATCCATTATATGACCGGTATCAATTTATGCATTGTAATATCTATAATATTCTGCGTGTCCATTGATACATCCAGACGTCCCTAATTGTATGTGTTTTATATCCATCCCTATAGAGTTCAAAAAATACTTCCTATTTCGATTGAATTATTTTTTGTTTAGATTTATATTACTCGTAATATTCTTTTAAGTTGTATTTGCTTGCGTTCCATTCTTTGTAATAAACATAGAAGGTTATCGTAATTAGCAAGGGATAATTGAATTTTAGAGTTATTTAAATTGAGCCAAGTTATATGAATTGTTGAAATTCCCATGCTTACAATTCCGTTACTCCTTAAAGTAAAAAGAAGAAAAAAGTACAACATATGAAAAATAAATTATGTTATGTGTCTTATTTTAAGGTATTTGGAGTACTTTGTTCACTCTCTCCCTAAATATATATATTAACGACTGAAAATTTGAACATGATATATATATCATGTTCAAATTTTCAGTCGTTAATAAAACACTTTCTAATCATCCATCAAGTTCAAATACATTTTTTAAACTTGTAGTGAATGACACTTGATGTTAATACAGTTTTTTTAAAAATATTAATTCATTAATTAAATTTAAAAAATGAATAAATAGTAACAAACAAATAAAACAGACCAACAGCATATACAGAAAGGAAAATCATTCGTTGTGTCCCTGTAGCGCAATAGATAGCGCGCATTCGACTTCTAATCGAAAGGTCGTGGGTTCAAATTCCACCTGGGATGGCCTAATTTCTGAGAATGGTATTTCTTTTTTACTATTCTATTTTATCCGAATAATTAAATTTAATTAATGAATAAATCGTAATAAACAAACAAAAAATAGTCCAGTATAGAAAGGAAAATGGAAAATTGCAAGGAAAATCGCTTTCTATTTTGTCATTTAATAGTGATTCTGACATATTTTTGAACATATTTATATCAATTGTAACTATTTAATAAAAAATAACTAAATAAAAAAAAATTTGTTGCCCTAAGTAGGAATTGACTTGAAATTTTTTTATATTATTTGTTTCATTTTTTTTCTTTAATGATCGGATGATTTCTTTTACCCTGAACTTTCTCGCTGTTTTTTCAGCATTAAAATTGTAAATCATTTCAATTCATTAATGCATTATTATCCAGTTAAAATAGTTCTCAAAGTATTATTTAACTATCGTTATTAAAGGAAGTTTTTGAGAGAGAGAGAGAGATCTTGATAAACATTCCTATCTATTAGATAAGCAAATACAAACTTGATAGATTTCAACTCAATTATTCGTCTTAATCTAAACATCTGACTAGTTTTCTAAATGACGAGACTTTAACCATTAATTACTCGCAAGACAAATGGACAAAAATTTCCGACCTTTCACGAAATCTCCCGAGATTGCTTTTTGATATGATCTTCCCGATACCTCCCGACACTTTTCATTTTAACCCGGAAACTGAAAATCTGCCCGGAACAATTAGTCTTCACACCCATCTTCCAAAACAGCGACTTGTCTCAAAAATAAGAAGTTATGGTTCTACTTCTGACATTAGAAGCGCGAAAAGTCCTTAAAATTCTTGTTTAATTGCGCAGCAGCAGCGGTTAAAACCCGGGAGGAACTTTTCCAGCTCTTTGCTTAATTGCCTATTAATTTGCGTCCTAAAACTCTTTTAACTTTTCCCTCTTGCTGAATTTGTTTCTTTTAAGACACCGGCACTCGCTCGGAAAAATGCGATTGAAAATATAATTTCAAAAAAAAAAAAAAAATACAAGGAAAAGAGAGAGAGAGAGAGGAAACTTTTATCCTAATTATCTATTTAACTAAAATTGGTAATGAGATCCGAGAGAAATTAGACAGAGAGGAGAAAAATTTTAAAAAGAGGAGAATCAAAACAGTGTGTGATCTGAGCGCGCGGCATATTGGCAAAATAGCTGCTCTCATGAGGAGTAAATATCGGCGATGTGTATTATAAAATCGATTTATCGGTAGACGATATTTAAATTCCTTCTTTAGATTAATACTTTGTGTGCATTAATTATAAAGCTAATGCGAGATTAAAATGTGTTCGTAAAAGAACAGATCCTTAAGAATTAAGTTTTGAAGGCAATTTTTCATTATTTATATAACAGTATTCGTTTTCGGGTTTATTTAACATCTAGAGTTTTTTCTTTTTGTTCAAAGGGATTCGAAAATTGGAACAGTTAAAGATGTGGAAAACGGAGAAATGTTGCATCAATGGTGACCAGATTATTTATTTATTTTAAACCTTAACTAATTCTGGGCAAAATAAATAAAAATTTTATTTTTATTTTGTAACAAACATTAAAAATTTATATGCGTATGAAAAAAAAAGGAATCTTGCAGTATCGTGGTAAATACGCAATACTAACTTTTTTCCTGAAAAAATATGAATCGGGTATGATTGGAAGTAATTTTCTATCGAATAATTATATCTTTAATGAAAATTGTATTTAATTAACAAAAGGAGTAAAAGAAAGGAATATTTTATCAAAAATAATTATTCTTGTTCAATTTGGAGAAGAGTGGAGACAATAGACTTATGACAACTAAAATACGACACATATACTTGTGATTTCAAAGTATTTAAAAACCATTGCAAAACAGCGTCAATAACAGTACCACTGTTAGCAGTCGAAACATTCTAATTTGTGCTCATTTTGAGCTTGAGTTCATCGTTCATAAAACCTATGAGCGGCTCAGCTTTTGGCAAACTGAAAAGGTTAAAATCACAACTCAAAATCAGGGGAAGCGAGTGATAATTTTTTTAAAAGAGCAGAACCACACCTTCGTTATATGGTAAAAAGTACACTTCGTAAAAGTACAAAATGCCAGGAAATCTTGAATTTTTTATTAACCGTTTTATTCGAAGAAATGTATACGACCACTGAAATCACTGTTTGTCCATTTTCAAATAAGCATTCTGCCGCACTTATGTCCCCCCAATATCGTGACTAACGGATTTAGAGTCAAGCGCTCGAGTGCTTGACGGCTACTAGAGTTAGACTCCCAAGCGAGGGTAGGGAAAAGACACAGCCACACACTCTCATTGGTCAAATCAAGTAGCGCGCGCTTACGTCACATCTTGTTACACACATCCATCCCGTTTCACGAAATCACTCGCAACAAATATCCAGCAACCAAGAGGAAAGATGTTACACATCAAAAATTTTAATATATATATTTATTAATCGAATAAGAGAGTTAAATATCGCGCGTAATTGTATGCGGGCCCGATACCAAATTTTTGTATGTTTGAAAGATTTTTATGATGGTGTCACATAATATAGTGACGAGCCGACTTAAGATTTCTTGAGGACTTGCTCCCCCCCTCTCCCTATGTAAAAGTAGGCTTTACTTGCGACCTTTTTAAGTAGACATTATGTAGCATACGTTTTAAAACACTCGTACAATCGCTAATTCTTAACAAATAAATGCTCATAAAACTCAATATTTCACAAACCGACTCGACTGACAAATAATGGTGTATGGTGGTAGGCCTGGATATGTACGTAACCATTACATAATAGTAGTCTCACCTCTGTTGCCACTTCGAAATTCTTAATATATCATAGACACTGCTGGCCACCGTAAATGCAACACCAAGAAAGACAAGAGATAGCACAACAAAATTTATTTTGTCGATAACATGTTGACCAAGTATCAAATGATTAAATTTATAGACTTCTGTGAAGTGTGGTTCCTGCCAGAATCAGTAGCCAGAGTAGCCACCATTGTAGGAGATCACCGCTGCCATACGCCTCAGCAGTGATTCAAATAGACTTTGGATGTGTTCTTGGGGTACAGCAGACCAAGCATCTTCCACACGTTGCCAAAGTTGACCTGGTGTGGCTGCTGAGGGTGTAATCTGGATCAATCGTTGAGCAACCATGGACTACATGTTTTCTATCGGCGAAAGATACGGAGAGCGAGCCGGCCAGGGAAGCAATCCAATCTGGGGATTGACGAAGAACATTTGGACAATGCGTGCCACGTGTGGTCGAGCAATATCCTGTTGAAATATGGCTGTGGCCAAGCCCTGAAGGTAAGGAAGGACAACTGGCTCCAACACCTCGGAGATGTAGCGCTGGCTGATTAAAGTACCGGCAATGCGTACTAGATGAAAGCGAGAGTGATATACAATACCGCCCCATACCATAATACCCGGTGCAGTACCAGTGTGGCGGTGCATAACGCAGCTGTTCAGCATCCTCTCTCCACGGTGTCTCTAGACTCGAATCCGACCATCGTGGTGTTGCAGACAGATGCTTGACTCGTCCGTAAAGACAACTTCATTCCATTCTGCCGCCCACATCCTTCTTTCATCGCACCATTGGCGGCGGAGACGTCTGCGGTTCTGCGTCAAGGGTAGACCAAGCAATGGACGTCTTTTGGACAGACCACTCTGCTGTGAACGGCGTCGAATGGTACGCGCAGACACTGAATGATGCGTTACAGACTCAATGTGCTGTGCTACGTTCCGTCACTGCCATGCGCACAATTTGCCTGTCCTCACGTGAAGTAATGCACTGAGGTGGATGCAATCGACCATTTCGGTCCGTCGTACCCTCCTGCATCCAACGGTCACATATATCCACATTACAGTTGTTTGGTTTCGTCCAACACGACTACCGATTTCCCTGAAAGATAATCCACAATCTCGGTAGGCCACTATCCTTCCTCTGTCAAACTCGGATACTTGATCAAAAGCTGATCTCTGTTTTCTACGAGACATAACGGTTCGTTTTTTGAAAAAACCACAAGAAAAACACAATTGCTGAACTTGAAATCGTCGAAATTTCTAAGCCTTAAATAGCGCTTAGAGGTGGCGCTACAGGCGTGCGTGATGTGTGTCTGCGCTGAAATTCTAATCATTTGCATATCTCACCTCCGCTAATGCAAGCTGTAAATTTCATGTTATTTGCATGCTTTCTTCAGGGTGTTGCATTTACGGTGGCCAGCAGTGTAGTTCGGAATTCTTTGTATTTCTAAGAATATGGACCTGAATAATATTTAGCGATTAAAACTACCGGGGTCATGATTTTACTGAGGTCAAATCTGTAGCAAGACGAACCCCATGCCTTAAAACATCCCTGGCAGGGAGGTCAATCTCTGACCTGGACTACTACTGTCAGTATTCATTAACAGATGTAAATGAATGACAGTGACGTATGTCTTTGTGTTTCAATAAATAGATATTTTAAGACAATTTTTTAGTAAAACTTGAAAGAATCCATTTGAAATCAATCTCTTTAACAAACATATAGATTTATGCTCATTTTATAATTGTACCTGTTGGATCTATAGTTCGTATATTGAGCACAATTTATTAAACCTACGGAAGTGTAATGGTTCCAATACTAATTGTTGCATTGCATTAATGAAATCGTTTTGAGCACAGTGTGTGCAAATTTATTTTTGTTGGATTAGTGTACAATGTCTTTCTACTCCTATTTCTGTAACACATTTTTAAAGTTGTCTTTATATTTCGCTATTCCCACTCTTATTTGAGAAAATAATTTTTAGAAAATTCAAATGAAATGACATTATTTACTCTGTGGATATTCTTCCTAAAAAAAATCTAGACTTATTTGCTGATTGATGCCAAACATCATATTTCAATTTTTTTTATATACATACTGTATGCAGTTTTTATAATCAAACCACATCTTTTACAGCTCAGTCAAAAATTAGTTAACTTTCCGACCTCGTAAAAAAAGTCTTTAGATATTCCGC